AAGCAAAGCAAAGCAAAGCAAAGCAAAGCAAAGCAAAGCAAAGCAAACAAACAAAACCAGAAAGTGCACACACACAAAGCCATGTCTTTCAACTGCTCCTGGCATGGGTCCTGCCCTGGAAAGTGGCTGGTATACCCAGTGACTCTTCATCTTTCCCAGCAGATATTGACAACCATTTTGGTGAAACAGCTCCAAATTCAACCTAAACAATGGTGATGCAGACTTCTTCCCTTGTGCCAGAGCTCAAAGTCTCACTCATGCTGGGCAAATTCTCTACCATTGAGCTGTGTCCCAGCCTTCCATTCAAAGCTCTTATAAGATAGCAAAGGAATTCCTGTGTTATCTAAGCCAGTGTCTTGCAATCCTATGAAATCTCTTTATTATTTGCCTTCCAATCTGTTGAATATAGTATATGTCTCTAATAATTTCTCTGATTTCTTTTGAATATAATATACCTCTCCATTTGTCCAGTTTTTAAAAGTTTACTTAAACATTGTCTTGTAGTTCTCAGCCTACAGAGTTGGTGCATACTTTATCAAATTTCTGCCTACATATTTTTGTAGCTACAGTTTTAAAATTTGGGTTTTTTAATGGATAATCACTATTATGTGGAAGTAAAATTTGTTTTTTCTATTGACCTGCAACCTTGCTAAATTCACTTGTCAGTTACTGGATTACAAAAATAGATTCCTTGGTGAGGGGAGAGTTTTCTATGTAGGTAATCATTTTGATTACACACAGGGCCAGTATTATTTTTTCTTTTTGAGCCACTTGCAGTGTAGTTCAGGCTGGCCTCAAACTCATGCTCCTCCAGTCAAGCTGACGATCCTCTTGGCTGTCTCCTTAGTGTCACCACTCCCTTTTATGAATTTTATTTTATTTCCTTATTACATAGGCTGGGACATGAAATATGTATTAATTAGGAATGGTGAGAGCAGGCATCTTAGTTTTATTTCTGATCAAAAGGAAGGACTCTAGTCTTTCATCCTTAACTGTAACATTGTTCGTTTCTTTGTTTTTGTTTTGTTTTTAGACTATCTTTTCTTTTTGTCAACTTGTAGCAATTTTCTACTAGATGAGAGGGTTTTTTTTTAAGTTTGTGTTGATTCTTTGTGAGTTTCACATCATGCAGCCCAATCCCACTCCTCATCCCTTTGTATCTGCCCCCGTCCTCGCAACTTCCCCCTCTCCCAAAAGAAAATTAAAAACTAAAAACATAGAAAAACATCTCATCATGGAAGCTTTAGTGTCACAGTGTGTCCCACAGTATACCCCTCTGTCCACACATCTTTACTTGCAAATGTTCATTGCAATGAGTCATTGATCTGATTCTAGGTCTCTGGCTTCTGCTACATTACCAATACTGGATCTTCACCAGGACTCCTCTCAGATATCCTGGTGTTGCTTGGTGTCATGGAGATCCTGGAGCTTTGGATCTGCAGGACTGGCCCTTTCACATGTTCCAACCGTGCCTAGATGAGGTAGATGTTGGACCAACTCAAAGACCCATATCTGGGCCTGGGTGGTAGCTGAGTTGATTGCCAGCTCTCTGGCACCTGCACCATCAGGGTGAACTCGCCAACACTGCCCTGGCTAGTTCGCCCAGTACTGCAGCTGGCAAGGGGTAGGGCCAGCTTTCCTGCTTTCATGATCCTGGGGTCAGCTCTTCTGGCTGCTTCAGGTTGGGGGCATCATCCCCAAACCCATGCCACCTCACAGAAGGTGAGTGATAGGGCCAGTTCTCCCATGGTCATGCCCTCCAGGTGCCAGGCCACCAGCTCACTGTTTTGCCTGGTGAAGGTGCAAGGCCCACTCTCCTGAGTGCTGTCCTGGGTGAGAGATGGGACCAGCCAGTGAGGGGCAGGGCCAGCTCTGCACAACCCTTGGGCATCAACATGGTCCCAGGCAGCAGCCCAGACCAGGGGCGTCTGCATGGTCTTTAGTGGTAATATGAACCACGGGCACCAACACAGACCCCTGCAGCTGCATGGCCACAGACTTAGACATGGCCTTCAGCAGCAGCATGGGCTGGAACTTCACCATCGTCTCAGGTGGCAGGGCAGGCTACTTACAACAGGCTGTTCCTCTCCACCCTCACATCTCCAGTCCCACCTCTCTTCATAATGTTCAAACTGTTCTGCTTCTCTCTCTCTTCCATCTTTCCACAACGTAATTATGCATTGTAGTGGTTCCCACTGAGGCCGTCCATGTGGCTGATGGGCCTCCGTGTGGCAGCAGGCAGGCCTCTCAAGTTTTATTTTTAACTACAAATATTGAATATGGTTAAAAATTCTATCAGTTGATATGATCATGTAGTTTTGTCTTTAGGTTATTATGGAACTGGATAATGTTGATCCATTTGTGAATATTGACCCTGACAAGTATTGCTGGAATAAACTTCTCATAACTGCAATTCATAATTTTTTTAAATTATCACAATTGCTAATATTCTGCTGAGGATTTTTGTATGTCTATTTATGAGGGATGTTGGCTTAGAGTTTTCTTTTCATGAAATCTATGTTTTATTTTACTATCAAAGTAATGTTGATTTGGAAAGTGAGCGAGGAAGTATTCTTCTTTTGTTGTCTTGGAGAGATTTTTAATTCTCTCTCTCTCTCTCTCTCTCTCTCTCTCTCTCTCTCTCTCTCTCTCTGAAAAGACATTTTGTAGCTGGGGATAGCTTAGGAATTAATACAGAGAACAGGCTAGCCTCAACCTTGTGATCCTCCTGTCTGAGCCTCTCAGATTCCCATGTCCTGGGATTACATATTTCCCACTATGCATAGCCATTTCTCTTTTTGTGAGACAATCTTGCTATATAGCCTACATTGGTTTCAAACTGGTGAACTCCCTGCCTCAGCTTTCCAGCGCATGCATTACAGGCATGTGCCACAACGTCTAGCAACCCATCGCTTCTATTAATGTAAATGTTTAAAAGACTGCATTAGTGAACACATCTAAACCTGGATGGCTGTTCTTCTCAAACTCTTTAAAGTGTAGATTCAATTCAAATTTTACAATACCATTCAGATAATCTATTTTATCTTGGGTGACTTTGGGTGGTTTGTGGTTTTCAAGGAATGAGTCCATCTCATGGGAGTTGTAGAACTTGTGTTTATAAAGTTTGTAGTGTCCTCTAATTTTTCTTCTAGTTTTTGTTGAGTTTGTAATAATATTCCCCATTTCATTTCTTTCAATGATGTCTTCTCACTCTCTTGGTTTATCAAATTCTGTTCATATTTTTAAAGAAGCAAGTTTTGGTTTAATTGATTTTCAGGGCTTTGTTTATTGTCCGTTTAATTGATTTCTTCATCATCTCTTTTCTGCTTGCCTTAGGTTCCTTTGGACCTTATTCTCCAGTTCGTTAGGGTGTATTGATTTGAGACCATACTCAGCTTCAATTACATTAAGTTTGGGAGGATTTTATTCTATGACTCAGGTAATGGCATTGTCTGATACCTGTCACGCCTGTTTTGGAAAAGGACATGCAGTGTGCACTGTTGCTAGGCAGAGCACTGGGTCAATCAGATCTAGTGGACTGATGGTTGGCAGAGCACTCAGCCAATCAGATCTTGCTGATTGATGGTTGGCACAGTTGTTTTACAAACATACTGATTCTCTGCCCACTAATTCTACAGATGACTAACAAAAGTACGCATGTTGACGTCTCCAATTATGACTGGATTTGTCTCTATCTTCTGTCATTTCTGTCAGGTTTTTCCTCCTGTATTTGAACCCACTTTCAGTGCATGTACACTTAAGTACATTATGTCTTCTTGGTGGACTGACTCTTTTATCATGGTAATTTGTCTTTGAAGTCGGCGTTGTTTGATGTCCTTGTAGTCACTCTGGCTGGCTTTTGATTACTGTTTTCACGGTATATCTTCTCCCATCATTTCACTTTTAACCTATGCATATCATTATGTTTGAAGTGACTGTTTCACCACGCATATAGTCTAGTCGGCTCGTATGGTTTTTTCTGTATTCTAGTCTCTCTTTTATTCTGATGAGCTTATACTAGTTTATGTTTGAAGTTATTGCTGTCATATTTACATTTAGGCTTTTTTATTGTATTATTTTTTCCAACTTTTCTTCATTTCTTTTGGATTTTTTTTAGCTTTTAAAGGTTTCTCATGGTTTGTTTTTGTTGTTTGTTTGTTTGTTTGTTTTGCTTTGTTTTTGATCATGTCGCTGCTTTCTAGTCATTGCTTCAGTACTTAAAACAGACGTCCTCCTTGCTGTGTCTGGAAACAATACCTGATTATTTCAAGTGCAGTGTCCAAGCATGCTGCACAGGTCTCTCCTGTCCTTTTATTGGAAGTCCATCACAGAGTCTTGACTTTCAACAATGAAACGTATTTTATAAGACTTTAAAACTAGTGCTCGCTTCAGCAGCACACACACTAAAACCGGAAGGATGCAGACAAGATTAGCATGGCCTGTGCATGAGAATGACACACGAATTCGTAAAGCATTCCATATTTTTAAGAAACCTTTTGAAGAAAGAGTTTACCAAATAGCTTATTTTGTTTGGAGAAATAATTACCATTTCTGCTGTTCTTCTCCCAAGGTGGCAGGTTTCTTTCTGGCCTCATTCTCATAGACTGAAGATTGTCCTGAGCAGCTCAGTTCTCCTGGCCCCCTTCATCTGTGCATTTTCATTTTATCCTTGTTCCCGCAGGTCCTTTTCACTACACCCAGAATTCTGAGCTGACGTTTCTTTCCTTTCAGCACTTTAGAAACCTTAGGTGTCCCGACAACCATTCCAGTCACTGTCTCCCTGCAAGCCATGCATTATGTTTTCCTCTGAATTCTTACAACTAAAAAAAAAAATCTTTAAAGTGTGTGTACATACTCATATGTGCACGTGTGTGTGTACATGTATATGCTTGCAAGTCCAGAGGTCAGTGTTGAGTGTCTTCCTAGACTGTGTTCCCCTTTTGAGCCAGGGTCCCTCACTGAGCCCCAGTTTATCTAGGGACTCCTCGGTCTCTCCCAGATGTAAGACTTCAGGCATGTGTGTCACTGCTCCTGGCTGTTCCTGGGCTGCTGGGAACTGGACTCGGGTCCCCATGTTTGCATGTGCAGCACTTTGCCCCCTGAGCTGTCTCCCTAGCCCTGTGCCTTCCTTGTATCTCTGCTTCTTTGGTCTCCATGGCTTGGGCTAAAAGACGTCTGGGTGGAGAGTCCAATACCTTGTTTGGATTC